TGTGAGACCATCAAAAACTGAGTATCGTTCAAAGTGCTATTACGCATTCGTTTCCAATGATTACTAACTTACTTACGCCTGTTATTCCTTGTCGAGGAGCATAGGCCGCTCACCAGCATTCTCCATCCAACTCTGTCCTGAGCCTTACTTTCCAGTTATTTCCAGTTGCTATTCATCCTTTTCATATCGGCTTCTATTTCCCGGCGTAGTGTGTTCTTTGGCCTTCCTCTTTTCCGCTGCCCTTCCGGATTCCAAGTTAGGGATTGAGTCGTGATGCACATTGGTGATTTCCTTAATGTATGTCCGATCCACTTCCAACGTCTTTTTCTTATTTCCTCTTCAGCTGGAAGCTGGTTTGTCCTCTCCCATAAAACGCTGTTGCTGATAGTATCCGGCCAATGGATGTTGAGTATTTTGCGTAGACAACTGTTTATAAATACTTGTACCTTCCTGATGATGGCCGTAGTAGTTCTCCACGTTTCAGCTCCATACTGTAGGACTGTCTTGACGTTCGTATTAAAGATTCTGACCTTGAAATTGGTTGTGAGTTGTTTTGAGTTCCATATGTTCTGCAATCGTCAAAATGCTGCCCTTGCTTTGCCAATCCTCGCCTTTACATCTGCATCCGATCCTCCTTGTTTATCAACGATGCTCCCCAGGTACTTGAATGTTTCCACCTCTTCCAGAGTTTCGCCATCAAGTGTGATTGAATTGGTGTTCTCCGTGTTGCATTTGAGAATCTTGCTTTTTCCTTTGTGAATGTGGAGGCCTATCGATGCGGAGGCTGCTGCTACATTTGCTGTCTTCATCTGCATTTGGTCGTGTGTATGAGAGAGGAGGGCTAGGTCATCTGGTAAGTCCAAATCATCTAATTGATTCTGAGCTGTCCATTGTATTCCGTATTTCCCTTCAAATGTTGAGTTCTTCATAATCCAGTCAATCACTAGAAGGAAGAGGAATGAGGAGAGTAGACAGCTTTGTCTGACTCCGGTCCTTACTGGAAATGCATCTGTCAGTTGTCCTCCATGCACCACTTTGCACTGTAGTTCATCCTATGAGTTTTGGATAATGTTGACGATCTTCTGAGGAACTCCATAGTGTCGAAGAAGTTTCCACAATGTTCTCCTATCCACGCTGTCAAACGCTTTCTCATAGTCGATGAAGTTGACGTATAGTGATGAGTTCCACTCAACTGATTGTTCAACGATGATCCGTAGTGTCGCAATCTGGTCTGTGCACGACCGATCCTTACGGAATCCAGCCTGATGATCCCTAAGTTCGGCGTCTACTGCGTCTTTCATCCGATTCAGCAGCACTCTGTTGAAAACTTTTCCTGGTACTGATAACAAACTGATGCCTCTGTAGTTTTCACATTGGCTCAGATCTCCTTTCTTTGGTATCTTGATGAGATATCCTTCTTTCCAGTCCGTTGGCACTTGTTCCTCTTTCCAAATCTTTTTGAATAGAAGGTGAAGCATGTTTGCAGTTATTTCAATGTCTGACTTCAGTGCTTCTGCTGGTATATTGTCAGGTCCTGCCGCCTTCCCACTTTTGATTTGTCTGATGGCCATCTTGACTTCTTCGATCGTTGGTGGATTCAGTGCCCGTTAGCTCCCTGGAACTCTGCTTGTGCTTTGACTTTCTCTGCTCGTGTTCGGCTGTTGTTAATTGCTAGTTTCTTGTTCTTCCTTTCTTGAATTTTGTCCAGGGTTCCCATAGAGATCCATTCCTTGTGATGATGCTTCTTAGGACCAAGAACCTCCTGACACGTTGAAGTTAGTGCTTCCTATATCCCTTTCCAGTTGTCCTCCAAAGTAGTTTCTTGTTCTTTCAGTAGATCCTGTAGAGCTTGGAACCCGTTGTTGAGAGTTATCTTGAATTCATGGAGCTTGTCTATATCTCGAAAGAAGGTTGTATTCAACCTTTGTAGTGCTGTTTGTCCAGTTATCCAGTGTTTCTTTAGCTTCAGTCTCATCTTGGCCACAACCAGGTGGTGATCTGAAGCTATGTCAGCTCCTCTCCGGGTTCTCACATCTTCCATTGATCTTCGGAATTTTTTGTTGATACAGATGTGATCTATCTGATTCTCTGTGGTGTGGTCCGGTGAGATCCATGTAGCTTTGTGTATGCGTTTGTGTGGGAATATTGTGCCGCCTACAACCAATTTGTTGAAAGCACATAGGTTTGCAAATCTCTCCCCATTTTCATTTCTCTCTCCTAGTCCATGTCGTCCAATTACATCTTCATATCCTGTGTTGTCCACTCCAACTTTAGCATTTAGATCTCCCATAAGGATGGTGAGGTCCTTTCGTGAGCACTTTGCTATAATTGATTGCAGCCTTTCATAGAACTGATCTTTATCATCGTCGTTGCTATCATTGGTGGGTGCATAACATTGGATAACATTCATTGTGATGCCCTCCTTCTTTGTTCTGAATGATGCTTTGATTATCCTGGGTCCATGAGATTCCCATCCCACAAGTGCATTTCGTGCTTCTCTGGACAGCACTAGAGCAACTCCCTGAGTGTGTGGCGCATTTTCCCCTTCGTGACCGGAGTACAGCAGCATCTCTCCTGTACCTAGCCTTTGTTGTCCAGTTTGTGTCCAATGGGTTTCGCTGATTCCGAGTACTGCCAAGTTGTATCTCCTCATTTCCATTGCTATTTGGCTGGTCTTTCCTGTTTCCCACATTGTCCGGACGTTTCATGTGCCTATAAAGAGTGTTGCTTAGGTTGTTAGAAAGTGCATCGGTATCGTGACTTCCGAAGAATTTCGGCTTTCATCATGAGACGTCATTATTCCTTCAACTCCCAGGGCAGAGTTTAAATGGTTTGGATTATTTTTTCTGGTTAGCGTTTTTTTAGCGAGTTAGCTTTTCTACGGGATGGGGTCGCTAACCCCATGCCCAACCCTCCTCCTTTACCCGGGCTTGGGACCGGCAGTAACTCTAGAAGAGCTACAGGCGGAGTTGTTTCCAATGAATTAACAGTTAAATCAGTTTTTCCTTTATAAGCGAATCATTTATTCGGTTGTTTTGTACAAAAGTTAAATGAATCAGTGTTCAATGAAAATAATAAACACTTATAAATTAATAAACTAGATTCAAGTCAATTGGTGAATTTCCTTATAAATTTGTATAGTTTTATTCTGATTAAAAATTGATTGAACATAAGAATAATTCTGGGTGAGTTTGTTCATTTCTATTGAAGTATATGAGGTAGGCTTTGTTATGTTTTTGACCTAGGCTGTAGCCAATTGTTATGACTTGACCAAGGTCGTCGCTGATTCGTTATGGCCTTACGAATTTAACAAGGACGTCAGTTGCGTAATTTATCCACCAATAGAATACGACCTCTACGACCTTCACACTGTGACAATGACGTTCGATTAATATGAGTAATCTAGCGTCCTTATTGGTCCTTATCCGCCCAACCTGTTCACTTGAGTCCGAAACACCAATATCAGCCTCGGCAATACGAATCGTTTATTTCCATCATGCTTTGTTTATATATCAGACAGGCAGACCACACCACACCATAAAATAGAAAATAATATTTGTACAAAACCAGGCCAAATAGGGCTGTAAGCGTGTGAGACAATAATCAATAAAGCTGAGCATAACTTAGGAACAGTAAATCATACAATAATAATCAATAGGTCAAAATGAAGCTTACAATAACATGAATATAGATACAGATAATCTAGTTACCGAATAGTTTTACAATAAGAATGATAGTCCAATAGTAGGTCCTGCAAGTTACCGGTACTTATGTCTTCGCTACTAAATAACAGGCTTGAGTTGAGATTTGTTCATCAATCGTATTATTGGGAGCAATATTGATGGTTTCATTCACTCGAACATGCCAATTACACTGTAGAACTTTCGGCAAAAAGGATTTCAACTTGTTTTCTTTTTAAACACAAGGATGAATCTCATGTATAGGTACCTCGTTGTACTAAAAAATGGTGAAGGTGAAAGATGTGAGTGAAATGGATTTTAGGATACAGTTTTTGGGATTTTTGTTGTCTATCAACAACCATATTCGTAATGATTTCAAACGATTTATAACACACTTCAGACATTGCCTTCAGCACGCTGCTCAATAAGACAAAATCTTATCCGAAGGTCACCGGAAATAGTAATGGACGACAGTTATGAATAGTAGATTATATGCCAGAATCAACAAATCTTCAATGTAGATGTCAAACAATGCGATGACATGTATTCCTTTTATGTAAAATGCCGAATGAATAGTATTCCTGGGAATAAATGTGACATGTGGAAAAGGAGATAGAGCAGATGAAATACTTCATCACAATAATTTTCATTCATTATCGAATCTCCAAACACACCAACCTATGCATCACAACATGGTGTTTGAGTGTTATTCGTCTTCAAAGCATAGTAAGCAACTTATCCTATGAAAGAATAGGTGTGAGACCATCAACAACAAAATATCGTTCACTGAAATAAAAAAACAATTCGTTTCAAGAGGATATGATGAGGTGAATTAATTCCATCCTAATGTGCACAACGGGATCATCAGGATACTTAACAAAGTGTTTCCCATTGAGGATTGGAGGGTGATCACTCTTTGATTGTTAGACATTCATTATTTAACTACAAATATATCAGAAAAAAAAAAGACTTAACATAAGGAACAAAATATTTACATTGAGCATTATTTATTGGGATGAATATATTGTTCAACGTGAAGTATCTTCACTGGTGTAAGTGAATTAAGTGATTGACTTTGGAACGCCGTATTCAATGAGTAGCTAACGTGAATCTAATGGGATCAAGTTTCAAACAATTAAAAAGCGAAGAAATAAGCATGCGAATGAATATTGAATGTTTTGTGTTATCCATGAAATCGAATATATCCATAACTGTTTTTTGATTTCCCGCTTATTTCAGTTAAAGTTCGAATTACTGATTGTAGAAGGTGAATTTTCAAAGGTGAGTTGTCCACAAATTTTCATTACAGATAGTTAAACGATGATGACATTTGCATTCACCGATGTGTTGTCAGAACCCAGTCGGAATAATTCTACTTGCATGTAAGAAATCTATTATTGTGTTTGACAGATTCAGATCTACTCAATCAATAACCACACTTGTTCTCAGTGGTGTTATCCTAATGTAAGTAATATTTGTTTAAAAAACAGGTAGTCACCGTTAGTCACAATGACAATGTTCGTGTGTTTCCACTTATTGCGTAACATTCCAAGGACTGATTATTACACTCAGCTAAAAAAATTTGATCCATGTTTTACAAGAATATAATGTTCGAAAAAGATAGTAAAATGGGTAAATTCTTACTCAGTACAAACTTTTGTCATTTTGTGTTACATCACATCATAGCAAATGATCATACAGAAATGAGTGATATGAGATGTCCAAGGCAATTTATCATTAAATAATCCACATATCGATTATTTTGGCAAGCTTTAAAATCTTTCCAAAATGTTGAACTGAGAAGTTAAGCATCTTCTTCAACCATCTCATGCATACATATCATGTGGAACAATTGATTCACATTGCCTATGATCTATTGTATCTATGAGTTTAGTATGTTGTATATGTTTTTGTTTTGTATTTCAGATTGATCGGTGTAGTCTTTGGATTAATAATAATACTCGTTAAAAAACTACATTCTACATCCGTACTGAACATTATCTTCATGGTTATAACCGTCAGTTAAATATAATTCTTAAATTGCTTTCATGATATTTCCATCCAACTATCGATTGAATTTAGTGTAGATTAGTTCTCTGGATAATAACAATATCAACATGTTGGTTTGATAACGGCAATCTAGATAGAAGATTTCTTGAATGTTGACTTGAACAGATGGTTTCCCATGTTGTATGTTAACATGTCATAATGTATAGAGATCCAGTTTCTATATTTTAACTGAATTCACAGATTTGTCGATGCATATAATTCAGATCATCAGTCATCAGTTTGGATAATGAGCTATTACTTGAGTGACACTTTGTAAAACAATATAACGATAAACAGTATCTGTACATGATGTGGATAATTCCGGAATACGTACAGGCGGATACACATAAACGTATTATTTGAACTGTTTTGACCACTTGCAAGATGTGGAATGAGTTGTAAACGCAGTATAACTGAACAAATTAGATTTATGTCATTTTAATTTTTGGAATCACCTACACACAGTTTGGACATGTGTTTAATGATATACAAGTCATCATTTTATGTTTCAAGTGTCAGTCAGATATTACTGACCATCGTAGTTGTTTGTTTATCCAAGTTATTTAGGTGATAAACCTCACATAATCCGGTCATGTGTGTTGAGTTGTGATAGAACTCTACTGAGATTCCTCGTTATATGCTTTTATCCATAGATATTCATTTTAATTCATCCAATTTAACCGAATGCAGTACAGTAAAGGTCAGTCTCTCACTATTTATTCAGTTGTTGATCTGTTCAATTTCTGAACTATTGGTAAATTGACACTACTTTTTCTCTATTCAGGCGATGATTTTGTTTGTTGGTGTTGCGTTATTAATGCATAAAGTAAAATGGCACGAAATAATGATTTCTGCACCTTTGGCTAGCATGTTCTGCGTCTTAGCTATTTTTTTGGGCGTAAATCTACAACTTTCGAAAAAAAAAAGGAAAATAATCTTGTTCACGATGTATTGTGTAATTTTAGTAGCTGCATTCGTTCTTTATGTATTATGGTTGACACTGAAAAAGGTAAGTTTGTCTTATCACAGATTTCCACAAACTAGTAGGGAATAGTTATTATTATTGATTTCCTAATCGTCTATTCAAAAAGTAATACTGTTCCGAACAAAAAACACCGCTCGTAATTATCAGAAAAATATTTCCAAACAGAAATGTTCTACAGTGCTTTATAGAATTACATTTTCAATTCATATTTCATTGAGGAATATTCAGAACAAATCTTCCTTTTCTAATATAATGTTCATCTCTCTTGGATATTTATTCACATCATTTCGTGGTCATTGCGAATACAACAAAGTTTTCTACCATGATGTTTTCATTACGTAAAAATTATGAAATGGAACCAGTAGCCTTTACACATGAATTGAAACTAGTAAGAATCTGTAAACTGTTACGGCGCTTACACTGTATATTCTCAACACAAAGCATCATGAAAGCATCATGTTATCAATCGAGAAATCGATTCTCAGTATGATATATTATGATTGTAAAACAGAATGGCAATCACAACGAAACCGGAATTGTACACCTTCCATTTTGATGGAGTTTTGTTCTCTGAGCTGCATGGTACATTCAAGCAACGAGTTCATTGGCTTCAATGTTTCATCATACAATCATTTCAGAAAGTAATTCGTTACTTAGACAACTGTCAAGCATGAGACAGGATAGGTGCATGATGACGAAATTAAGAATAACATACCGACTGAACTCCTACATGAAGTGGTACATATCAGTTTAAAATAAGCAGTGTTAATTATCAGAGTCATACTGTGGCCTCACTGATAACTATATAGATACATGATGAATTGAAGTGAATTGTTTTCTTTTCATTTTTTTCAGCCTATTTTACAAGGTTCATTCTGGATTTGTTGTTGCTGCATAATGTTTATTGTAAGTTTTGAGTAAATAATCAAATATTAATTCTAATAACACTTCGTAGAATGTTATGCAAAGAAAGATATCGTTCTGTTGAAATAAGGACTATGGAGTATCAGTATTTTCTATGCAAGACATTCACAAGAATTCATCTTAAAATGTTTTGAAGATGACACCGGAATATAAGAAGATGACTGGTTGAATAGGAAAACTTGAGTGGTGAAGTATTTTTCGCTCAATTCGTTCCTTAAGTTCAATGACTCGATTAACACGAACTTCTGTCATTTTGTTGGAGTTTAGTTCTCTGAGCTGCCTTGTTTAGTCGTGCAGCTTCAATAGTACTTCTAATCGACATCATCAGCAAAACCGTCAGGTAGAAGTGGAGTGTTTGAATTTCTCTATATGTGATTCACAGCTTGTCCTGTGCACCTCAATGTCGATTGGTTATTGTTTACATTAAATCTATCATTGTTTATTTCTTTGTTTTGGTTATACATATTCATATATATTCATGAAGATTACCTATGTGACGTCAAGTTCACAATGGAACAAGAATAGAAAGACAAACTGTTACTGTTTAATGTAATAATCACCGGAACCAACACTGGTAAACTGGAGACTCAAATGTTCAGGAAGACGACCTCCACTGATTAAATTCTCAACTTCAATAGCAACAATTCAAGAGCTCACAAAATCAACTGCATACAAACCTTTTCCAAGAAAGCAAAGACACATTGCCACCCAATTAAAACATGGAAAAATGAAGAAAATTACCAGAAAAACATTCACCTAAAGAACGGCTATCCAATCAATTTCATCAAAAAACAGCAGTCGCACCCATCATAAAAAACGAAGTCGATTATCGATATCAGCAAAAGAATCATCTTACCATACATAAAAGGTATATCCGAAACGACTACGAGACGGCTGAAAGCCTTCGGAATATATGTTGCTCACAAATCAGCAAAAACATCTATTCAAACTTATGCAAACCAAAGGATGAAATGGCAAAAAAGGCCAATAAAACATAGTAGAAACTACGACAAACACCACATCGAAAAAACCGGATGCACTCTTCATGTTCTCCTGCATGAATACCAATTCGTAGTCAAACGCTATGACATGTCTTCACTCATATCAACATACGTGGGTGACTACGGACACACATTCGACTGACAAAATATGAAGATTTTGGACAGTGGCAATTCCAAAAACACCAGAAATATTTTAGAAGCTTGGCACGCAGGTCAATCAGCAATAAACAAGCACATTGAAAGCAATCCAAATTATCAAGCAATCAGGAAAATTATGCAGAAACATAGGAACAAAAATTAAATGAACGGGATATATAACCAAAACAAAGAAATGAACAATGATATATTTAAGGTCAACAACAACCAATCAACATTGAGGTACACAGGACAAGCTGTGAATCACATATAGAGAAATTCGAACACTCCACTTCCACTTTTTAAGCTACACAACTAAACAAGACAGCTCAGAGAACAAACGTTCATCAAAATCGCCCACCTGAGCTACAAATCTTCTCCACTATCTCAAGATGTTCTGTTATACAAATGATTATCTGTCAATATTCGATAGATAAAACCACAAGTTACTTACTGTTCATTTGTCATTGACGACTATTGCGAAATTTCCAAGTTCATGAAACCACATCTGTAAATGCTTATTATTTCACTGATCCATATGTTGATATGGATGCATTTACATTGAAGTAACCATCTATGTTTTGACAATTACAGGTGATTCTGTTCACAGCATACTATCTATATATGCACTACAGACAAGGAGACTGCTCTAAATCATACATATTTTTCGTATGGATTTATGAATATACTGCATTTTTCATCATATTACAATTCATTTTAAACACATTTCTTGATTGTAAGTCAAACATTAGTAATTCCAACATGACAATGATTGCGTGGGATTAATGGATGAATTTCCATTGAGTATCTATATTAGTTTACAAATATTCACAGATATTCATTTGGAGTATTGTGAAGATTTTTGTTAACTGCATTGTTATTGATAAAAAATGTCTTGTTAAATATATGTTCGCCTGTTACACTCAATTTCTGCATTGAACTTATTCGTTTAAAATACGAACAGACATTGAAATACATTTCGATTATACTTGAAACTAGAACAAACCAAATTGACTGGAATGATTTGTTCAACAATCGTATACTCCAAATACACACGTGTCGTCACAATGACAAATAATTTGTCCTTCAGTGAATTGTTTTGTTATTAATAATAATAATGATAAATTCTGAAAATAATATTTACAGAATTCTTAATTTATCTTTTATGCGCGTGCTACTAAGGATAAACGCGCAGTATTCGAAGAGTGGTTGAACACAGACTTTGTACAATAATATAAGAGATTTGCTGTTATGAGGATATCGAGTTATGTAACCTATATGGCGTTGAGACTTGGACGTTTGTTCCATTATCTGTTCAGTAAACGACAAGTCATCAAAGTCCCTAAGTCCTAGATCTACTACTGAGTAAAACCTAGATAACGTTTTACCATTTATGGTAAGATCGAGGTTGAGTGATGTATCACCGAAGCATAACCAACCACATTTAGCTGTATTGAGCTCCAGTCGCCATTTCGAGCACCACTGCGCTACATTGTTCAGCTCCGAGCTGATACTATTTTGAACATTGCTCAGCTCATGTGGAGAAAATGAGTACACAACCTCAAGATCGTCTGCATACAAAAGGTACTTACCCACACTAAAACACAGGCAAATATCATTAATGAAAACTAAAAAGATCAAAGGACCTAAGAAACTACCCTGAATTACCCCACTTCTAACAGCGACGGCATTCGACAATGAAGAGTTGATTTCAACTATTTGATGTCGATTGCTGAAAAAGGAATCAAACCAGCCTAGTAACTTGTACTCGATATCCTTGGCTACGAAGAGAATAGACTAAATTAAAGAAGTCAAAATGACATGTCATACAAGATCGATTTTTAAGAAATCCATGTAGCGAAACATCAATAAATTGTTTAGTCAATAAGTAATTGGATAGGTCGTCACTTATAATTTTTCCATAATCCAAGATATAACTGCAGTAATATTTATTGGCCGATAGTCGTTCATGTCAGTCTTATTTCCCGATTTGTAACGTGATATGATGTAGGCGGTTTTCCAACGGTCAGGATAACAGCCTGATTCCATAGAGAGAGCAAACAGCTTAAGGAGAAGTAGTGGAATATCCGGACTGGAAATCCAGTCTGATCCATGACGTTTAGAAAACTTGAGGTTATATATGACCTTACTAATTTTCAGACATGTGAAGGAGGTAGATTTAATTGAGTTACCAGTCGTGCATATAACTCTAGAAACAGAGCCATTTATGGATTCTTTGTCATTTGCAAAATTACCACTGAAAAGTTCTGCTATAGTTTTTGGGTAACATATAAAACTATTATTACACGTTATTATTGTTATTTGTGTGAGTGTCGTGAAGTCGTTAGATTTAAAATAACGTTCCTTTAAGCGTCTAAGTTTATTACGATATTTACCTGGTATATATAATTCGTAATGTTTACTAATCCTGTAAGTCTCATTCGGTGCACAGGAGTCTAGATAAGAGTAAACAATGAAATAGAATATGTTGATGGAATCTGTCAGATTATTACATGAGAAGAATTCATCCCATGATACTTTCTTCAACTTTGTTAGTTGTTAATGTATCCAAAGCAAATATAAGTCAACCGCCTGCTTGCTTAGTTTCTCTGTCACAACGATAGAGTCGATAGTTTCGGATATTTAATTCGGAATCGGCCACTGCTGGATAACACCACGTTTCAGTTATAAGAATAAAAGAAGGACTATGGTTTAATGTGTTTGCCGTATCGCATGGGCTATGGCATGAGGGAATTGTAGTGCTAGTTGAACAAGTAATCTCTGGAGACCGAAAAAAATAATGCTTATTTTGGTAAGGTTGAATACTTTGTTGTTCTTGTTTTGGTGGACAATTAAGAGAGGTGCCTGCATGTTGGAGTTGCGTTGGTGGTGCATAATCGTGTATACTGAATAAATATTTAACAAATTACTCGCTTTCCAACAATTACTCGATATGCAAACGAACTGCGTTCAAAGTGAAAATGTGCCAGAATTCCCTCAAAACATCATTCTTTGTGGCGATCGAGAGCAGAATTCCAAAAATTAACAAGGACTGTTAAACTCCGCACAAAGCTCTACTAGAGTTTCTAACGGGTTGAGAATGAGGTTGGCTTCACAAACTCAGAGAGTTGCTCTAATGCTATCCAAAGAAGTACGAAATGCACTTGAAGGATGGGAATGTCATGGATTCAGGATAACCAAAGCATCATTTAAAACAAAGAATGAGGGGATCACAATGAATGTTATTCAACGTTATGCACCCACCAATGGTAGAAACGACGACAACAAAGATCAGTTTTGTGAAAATCTGCAATCAATTATAGTCAAGTACTCACAAAAGGACCTCACCATCCTGATTGAAGATCTGAATGGTAAAGTTGAATTGGATAACACATGATATGATGATGTGATGGAACGACATGAAGTAGGAGAAGAAATGAAAACAAGTCAAGTACTCACGAAAGCACTTCATCATCCTGATTAGATATATGAACGGACAACAATGCAAAGTGGTGCATGGAGGACAGCTGACATATGCAATCCCAGTAAGTACCGAAGTCAGACAAAGCTGTCTACTGTCCTTCTTCTTTCTTCCGGTGATTTACTGCATGATGAAAACCTTGACATCTGAGGAAAAGTACGCAATACAATAGACATTATAAATTCAATAAGATGGTTTGGACAAGGCAGATGATCGAGCTATCGTATACACACCAAGAAAAAGACGAAACCTACCAATGTAGCGGCAGCCTCAGTATTAGTGGCCCTAAACATTCACAAACGAAAAATTAAGTTCCTTAATAACAGTACGAAGAACATTCACGTACCTGGGAAACATCATTGATAAATATTGAAGATCGGATGCAGAAATATAGGCGAGGATTGACAATTTAGGACAGCGTTTTTACAGCTGAAGAAAATATGGAACTCAAAATAACTGTCAGCTAATTTCACAGTTAGAATCTTCAAAACGAAGTCAGGTCTACTGTATGGAGCTGAAATGTGACGAACTACAACCACCATCAAGAGCGTACAAGTATTTATAAACAGTTGTATACGCAAAATGCTCAACATTCACTGGTTGGATACTATGAGCGACAGAGTTTTATGGGAGAGGACAAAACATCTATCGGAAAGAGGAAATTATGAAGAAACGTTGGAAGAGTATAGGACATACATTAAGGAAATCACCAAACTGCATCACGTGGCAATCCTTAACTTGGAATTTTGAAGGGAAGCAGAAAAAAGGAGGGCCAAAAATAATATTACGCTGTGAAATGGAACAGATATGAATAGGATGACTAGTAACTTGATAGAACATTAAAGGATTGCTGAAGCCGAGGTAGAATGGAGTGTGCGGGTGGTTAGCCTGTGCTTTACTACAAGAGGTAATAGGCGTAAGCAAGTATGTAAGTGAGGACAGAAAATATCTTCACGTATTTAATAAACTGCTTTACCAATGTCAACAATGTCACCAATGTATCTTCGAAGAGACGAATTGACTGTTCAACAGTACATTTTGTATAGCTTCACAGCTTTAATATGTACCTGATGACAGTGAAAGTTATGTGAAAACCACCTGTGTTTGAGGATCATATGTTTCGAGTTTGTTAGAAAGGCTATGCAAGTTTTGTTCATGTTTAATGTGTAAATGTGAAATTGATTGATGAGTCTATTGACATTTTTGATCTTAATATTTTTGACAATACCACAAACCTACTTACCATTTCCAATGCTAGAATGTTGTGTATGATCTGTGGTAATCTGAAAGATTCTATGAGAAACCGAGAAAATGTGGAGTTTATTCTTGAATGTACTTTTTCAAATTACAACTTGGAAAATAATTTATAATAAAAATACAGTAAAAATCTTCCTGGGTAACATGAAATAAAATTCATCTAATACATTGTCAGCAATAATGCACGGATTTGATGCGAACAAAACTGATAAATTAAGAAGAATCAATTGAAATGAATTTCGAAATAAATTATAAAGATATAATTGAAAACAATATTGTGCAACTACACAAGTATTCATCATCGTACACTGAAGTAGAGACTGTAACTGCTCAGAGGAACTTAAAAAATAAAGGATATCATCTTTATTCAAATCATTCAAATTATTTACGATAGAATAGAGGAAGATTAGGTTTATAACGCATTTTTCTCCAGTCGGATTGGATCACCGATGCCTTCAGGTAGGTACCTATGTATATTTGACGAGTAAAAGAGTAACTACAATAAATTGTAGTAAAGTTCTGTTCTAAGCTCATACGAATATGTCGATTTTACTGTTGAAATACTCCTGGAAATATACTTAGATCACATCAGTCTGTAGCGAATCACGGAACTTTTTTACTCCTAAAGTGTAGAACGTATGCATGCAGTCCATTAATGCAATGTGGCATCACAACTTTCTGGATGTTTCTCACGAGGTCTGCGTTGAGATAGGATATAATGTGTTCTACAGATATTCTGCTGAAACTGAAAACAAGATACTGGTGAACAACAAAGTCTATGTGAACTAGGCTTCAGTCCGTAAAAGTTTAACTTGACTTGCAAATTTATCTGTTTCTGAACGTAAAATCAATTTAATTATTACAATAATTAAAAGAATATTAGTCATTAAGTGTAACGCACAGAACACCACGACCAGCATTAGGTGTTTATCAAAACGACTAAACATTCTGAGTGATACACATACAAAATGATAAGAATGTCGATCAGTTGGCGACGAGGATAGACAATCGACACATCTGATAATTCTTGCTGAGTGAACACTATACTCGGATCTTAAGCTAGTCTCGTAACATTCAAGCTTATTGTACACAGCGGCTTGACCACGAGAGAAAAGGCGCACAATATGCGGTAAGCACTTTAATCCAAAGATTGGATTGTGTACAGAACATATATTATTATTATTATTATTATTAGCTTTATTCAATATTATATTTTTGGTACGATATAGAATTCTTAGCACAAAGTACTTCAACAAGTTTCTGTTGCTTACTTCTTCGTCCTTCCTGACGATGAATATTGAGTGATCGCGAGTGAGAACTTAGCTGCCCAGTCAATCGACATC